TTTGTTGGTTGGTTGATTGGTTGGTTGGTTGGCTGGTCTGCTGGTTGGTTGGTTGGTTGGTTGGCTTGTGGGCCAATTTGCCGGTTGGCCGACGGGCCAGCTGGTTGGTTGGTAAAAATTGGTTGGTTGCCCGATTGCTTGGTGTTTGGTTGGTTGATTGGTCGGTCGTTTGGTTGGTTGGCTCCTCGGTCGGTTGGTTGGTTGGTTGGTTGGTTGGCTGGTTCGTTGGTTGATTGGTTGGTTGGTTGGTCGGCCGGTTTGCCCGCTTGCCCAGGTGGTTCGTCGGTGTTTGAGGGTTTGGACGGAGTAACGGGTTGGAGAGTTGAAGTGGTGCTTGGCTGGAGGGCTGAGGAGGCCATGACGGGTTGACGCTCGAAAGTTTGAGCGTTCCGGGTTTGACATCCCCTTTGGGTTGCTCAAGGCTTTCTTGGATGCGTCGGGCAGAGTGATTGCGAGGATAATTATAACAATGATGACAATATCGATGATGATGGGCGACTGTGATGGTGATTGTGATCTTGATTTTGATGTTGATTGAAAGCAGTGTGTCAGATGGTGGCGATGGTGATTATGATAGTAACGATACTGATGACAATGATGATGCTGTTGATGCTGATGATGATGAGGATGATGATGATGATGCAGATGATGATGATGATGATGATGACGACGATGACGATGACGGTGACCACGCTTATGATGATGATAATGATGACGATGATGATGATGACGATGATGATGATGATGATGATGATGGTGCTGATGATGATGATGGTGATGGTGATGATGGTGATGATGATGATGATGATGATGATGATATTAATGATGATGCTGATGATGATGTATGTATGTATGTATGTATGTATGTATGTATGTATGCATGTATGTATTTATGTATGTATGTATGTATGTATGTATGTATGCATGCATGCATGCATGCATGCATGCATGCATGCATGCATGTATGTATGTATGTATGTATGTATGTATGTGTGTGCATGTATGTATGTATGTATGTATGTATGTATGTATGTATGTATGTATGTATGTATGTGTATGTATGTATGTATGTATGTATGTATGCATGCATGCATGCATGCATGCATGCATGCATGCATGTATGTATGTATGTATGTATGTATGTATGTATGTATGTATGTTTAAGGCGATTCCCCAACCACCGATTCACCTCCAGACCGACATCCAGGAGCCACGCGTGTGCGCAAGGGCTCCCCCCTGCTTGAGCGCCCGGGTCTAACCCCCAAGCCGGTCTGATCCGCCACGCCTGCGGCGCAGAAGAAGATGATGCCCTCCAAGTCCCCGGAGGGGGAACTGCCGGACCTGGGTCCAGCAGGAGAGACGGTCCCGCTGTCATTCGTCCGCTGGTCCCCACATGGGAAAGGAAGTGAAACAAGCCCTGCGTACAGGGGAACGTGCTGCTGCGATGGCGGGACTTCTTATCCGGCCCTGGCGGTGGTGCCCCCAGGCGGGCTTTGAATGCTGCTTCCACCCCAGGCGCCAGAGCTCAACGACCAATGACCCCAAACAGTGGCATTCGGAAGCCCCAGAACAAGCCGGCGGTGGTACATGCGATTACCGTGCAAACACTGTCGGGGGAAATTCGCGGGCGAGTGGAAGGAAGGAAGAGGGGACATATGAGGGAGGGGGGGAGGGGGGAAGGGATATGGCTGTTCCAGGTCATACATACGGTTTGGTCGGCACAACCCCTATGCGGAGTCTACAAGCCACTGCTGACGAAGGCTCGCTGCTGATGCGAATGCTGCCGAAATTTAAATATGCTGCCCTGCCACGCTTGCGGGGGAGGAAGACGAGGATGATGATGCTGATGAGGGTTGCAAGTAGGGGAGGAAGATTAGAACGCTACGGCCCGTCGGCCCCACGCTCCAGACGGCCGGCTGCTGGGGCGGAAGGGCGACCGGTTATCACAGCCACGACATGTTTTGGAATTCCAGTGGTTCCTCACTCCCCTGATCGTCCTCCTGTCCCCCTTCTGTCGCTCTAAAGAGGCTGCGGGTCGAAGCGGGGATAAGGAGCTTATCCCCGCTGCAGCCGGCATGGCTGCTCCAGGGCATGTTTACGGATTTATCGGCACAGCGTCTATGCTGGCAGACGCTGAAGGCACGGCGACCCGGGCACCGTTCCCCACACAGTGTTTGCACATAAGGGTCCTAACGTGGGTAACGAAAGAATTCCACTGTTTGGGGTCCACGCTGGCAAATGCTGAAGGTACGAATGTGGCCCAATTCGTATCCTAGGGCACGGGCGCGGTGGATGATACGATTGTGGCCCATTTCGTATCTTAGGGCATCGGCTCACGTAGGAAAATTGACGGTGGCTCCCATCCTGGACCGCTCCGCCGCTGGCGGACCCAAGACAGGGCCACGCTCCCCATCCACCACAATGCTGGCATTGACAGAGTGGCTGTGGGGATCGCCTGATCTCCAAAAGCCGGAAGACTCACGTCGTCCAGCTGGGCGAACGACTTCAGCATGTGGATGCCCATGTATGCACCCTGCTGCACCTCTGCCCAGGCTGATCGTCGCCATACGTTGAGGTTCCACCAGCTTTTTACCACGCTGACATGGGGATTCTCAGCCACGAAGCTCCACGGGCACACGCATCCCGTGACATAGCCAGCCCCGAAGACTATGTAGAGTACGTTGTGATTGCCCGCGGCCACACAGTTGAGCCCAGAATTCACACTCCCCTGGTCTGGCCCAGGATGCCCAGGCTCGGCGAAGTCAGGGCAGGCTCCAAGGGCCTCTTCTCAGTTGAGAGCCACCCACTCCGCCAGTGATTTGGCCCTCTTGGCCAGGTCGTGCGGCGGCGCGGTCCCGATGTGCTTCTTGTAAACTCGTTGACCTTCAGGTTGAAGGGGCGGTCCGCGAGGCGGTTCTTGATCTCGGCCGTGGCGGTGGACACGTTCTTGTTCGGCAGGACAAGCGGTTTCTTCACCTTGGGGCCGGAGAACACCGACTGCAACCACTCCGCCTGTGCAGTCGTGAGCTCCGCCGGGGGCGTCTTCGCGCCATCGGGCTCGTCGTCCTCGCGGCTCTTGGCCCCGATCTTGGCGGTGACTGCGTTGGCGATCTGCTGGAGCGCCGCAGGCGAGAGGGTGGTCGCTTCTCCGGCTGGTACCTGGAGGGGAGCGGCGGATCCGCTATGGCCACTGCTGGCCGCGCTGCCCGCCCTCTGTTGCCCCTCGATGAGGGAGTCGAGCTTCTGGCCCAAGAGACGGGCCAGCGCCGCGCCCTGCTTGGCGCAGTGCTCCTCCTCCTCTTGGCGCTCTTTGTCGACCGACGTCCTGTACTTCGGATCGATCTCGTATAGCCTCTTCTGGGCCCGCTCCACCGAGGTTGCCCTATCCGAGCGGTCCCGGCGCCGGCTGTCTTTGCGGCTGGCCGACCTGGAAGCAGACGAAGGTGAGTCGCGGCGCCGGCGGTCCCGGTCCCTGTCACGGTCTCGATCGCGGTCCCGGTCTCTGTCACGATCTCGGTCCTTGCGCCAATTTTGCTGGTGACCCCGCTGGCCACTGCGACCGGGCGGTGGAGTTCCCCATTTTCCCATGGTGCTGCATTGTTGGTCGATGAACTCACGGACGACTGCGCGCGTGGCTTGAGCCACAAGGGACTTCGGAAGGCTTTATACGAGTGCCCGCAAGAACCTGAGAGGGTAGCCGGAATTATGGTACTCCATGGTTCGTTCCAGCACCCAGACACTGATTTCGTCTGCGCTGGACCCCAGCTGACGGCCCCAGAAAATACGAGTCAAGACCTGGGCCCGGCAGAGTCCGAAGCCCCCCAGAGGGCGGCCGATCCAGGGTAGGATAGTGCGCTTCTCGCGTGGTCCCCGGCCACATACCCACGCACGGTTGGGATTGCGAGGCAGCCACAGCAGAGATTGGCCTCGAATCCAGATTTCTACATCCAGCCATTCTCCTACTTTGCGAGCCCCTTCAACACCCCGTTGAGGTCCACTGAGTACCACAGGAGATATTGTGAGGGAGCATACCCCTTGCAGGAAGACCAGAACACACTCGCTGCAAAAGCACTTGGAAATTGCAATGCAGTCGTCTACATACCTGCGCCACGAGATGTAGGTTCGAACGGGTCCAGGGCCTAGGGGAAAGCCAAGACGCCGATGACCTCCGAGATCGAACCGTCGATGTTCCTGTCCCCCCAATGACACTGCGACTGCTGCCGAGGACATCGCTCCCCCGATGCAGATGCCTTGCAGGTTGTACAGGCGGCCGACGGCGAGGACGACGGTCATCAAGGTAAAAGCAATGAGTGCCCGGGCCAGGACAGAGAGGGGAAGATGCCACCAACCATTGCCGAATCCTTGCGCGGCCACTTGGACCCGCTCTTGAGGCCCCTTGCGCACCAATATTGCATTGCTGTGGCATCTCGCTCGGTATGCTCCTTCCTCGTCGCGCCACAGGCCTGCAATATCTTCAGCACAACAAGCTTCGAATGCTTGGTCGGCGTCAGCGACGACCACACTCAGCTCTCCGAAAAGAGGGGCGCAGCACCGGAGACGCCTATCTGTGGCGGGCGCGCAGACCTCGTCTTGGAGATCCCGCAGTGCAGCGCCAACGGCCTTCATACTCCAAACTTCCTGGGAAACGTCGGCTTGTTGAAGGGCCCCCCAAACTCCCCGGGCTAGGATTTTCCACGCACGTTTCCCAATGCATCCCGACCCGTCGATTATTCTTCTGAAGCAACTGTGCCCAAGTTTCGAACACGTCCGCAAGCCATCAGCTCGAAAGAACTCGCTTTTGATATTGATGAATGCATGGGGGATTTGACCTACACATCGCTGGCGTCTGTTGTGCAGTAGATGGCCCAAGAAAGAGGGAATCCCCAACTTTGCTCTAGCAATCTCTCATGTGCGTGCTACCTCTTTTGTCATCGACGGTTGATGCTGCCAAATCGGGTCGTTCACGATTGCAGTCTCGAGGGAAGCGGCGAGTTCATCAGCCCGGCCTGTCCACAACAAATTGGCCGCCCGATCGCGTGCTCGACGCACCTCGCTGGGCGCAAGCTCGAGAACTCCGGCCAGATCAAGCCCATTCCGCGGGCTGGGGTGGAAGATTGACCCGAAGACGCCCGGGCAGAAGTAGCCGGGAACTCCAAGATCTCCATTCCCGGTGTAGCTCACGTCGAAGGGCCCGTTCTTGGGGCCACACTTCCAAGCGCCGCGGCCCTTGCCACCTGCATAATTATCTGGGGAATTGCTGGGGCATTCCTTTGAACATATTCTGGAATACTGATTTGGCATCCCGGAACATTTTGTTGGAATTGATGCAATCGTTTCATTTTCTGTGTTTGGTATGCTGTATGACCAGATGGCGTAGATACCATGCCCGCGCTGGGGCGCACCGCGTCTGGTTGACGGGCGAGGAGACGACTGAACGGACAAGCTTGCGTGCCCTCCCCAGTGCCAGGCCACCTGGAATCCGAAATGGGGGCACGTAGAAAGTCAACCCGATCGATTTCAACAGAAAGTTAAAATGTTGCGACGAGCCCCAATACGGCGCGAGGGAATCTTGAGCACCAGGTTGGCCACGTCCATCGCCCGATACAGGAAGAATGCCAGATCCCCGCGCCGCCATTTGGGCATCTGAAACTGGGGGGCCTTTGTGGCCATCAGCGCCACGAAAACCACAATGTGTTGCAGACAGAGAGGCCAGATCGGTCCCGCAACTTCTGCGGTAGCGTGCCGATGGGTTTGATGAAGACGGCACTGCGCCTTGAAAGGAAGGTCGCCCTGGTTGACGCCATATAGCTCTGGAAACCCCCGGCGCTGACGAGCATCGGGTCCTTCGGTCGACGGCTCAGTGCCCCACAAGCTGGCAAGAGGGTCTCGTTTGCCCCGTCGCCACGAGCTCGGCCGTAAACGACGGCCACCTTTGAACCTGACAGGTACACAAGTTTGGTCATGACGCCGAGAAGCTGAAACAACATCCCTCTGGTTGCACAAGGAGCGCTCCATCCTGATCATTGTGGCCTCAATCGCAAACGCTTAGGCCTCAGTTGGGGCAGTCATGATTGGGATCATCGTGACATTGCCCAGTGAACAACGAAGGACTCTGTACCTAGGACGGTGTGCTTGGCTGTCGTCCGATGCACCCGTGCTCCATAGCCACCGCGGTCACTCCGTTGCGGATTGATTTTTCCTATATACGAGCCGCTATGACTGCTCAGCGCATACGTCGCGGCCACGGCGTTGAGGCCCCCCGCGCACGATGTGACGGCAGGAGCCTGGTTGTCGCAAGTGGCCTGCAGACCCTGCACCAGTGGATTCCTCGTGGCGAGCTGGGCGAGCCACGCCGGCGGCATGACCCGGATTACCCGTGTAGCCCACCTAGGGACCCGCTTGCGGGCATCAACCACTCGGAGCTTGGCCACGCCGCACGCTGCCAAGACATGGGTCAGCAGGGCGACGCTGGTCGCTTGCCGGTGGCAAGGCCCCTGGGCAGGAAACTTGGAGTCAACGATGCAGTATAGCAGCCAACTGAGTTCAATGACGCCTGGAGTCTGTGAAAGTGCACTTCGCCACGCCAATTGTACAACCTCGTCTTTGTCTGGACCTGAAATGCTCCATGTACACAACTTCATGTACCGCCGAAGTTCCGTCCCACAGTTTTTTGATGTTGGTCGTGGCCATCGGACATGTGTAATTGGACTGGAACTTTGAGCAGGGACGCGCCCCATGCCAACCATGTTGCACGTTGTTTACCGCAAACAAAAGAAGATGATGATGTGGCAGAAGAGGATGTAGCTGTGGAAGTAGAAGAGGGGGTATGCAACGACGGAGTAGACGATGTAACGAACTCAAATGGAATAGTCCTCGACCGAACCTGCACCCCCCGACGGCCACCTTGCCCGGCTTGGGTACAGAAGTGTATGATGTATGTTAAAGGCGATTTCCCCAACCACCGATTCACCTCCAGACCGACATCCAGGAGCCACGCGTGTGCGCGCAAGGGCGCCCCCCTGCTTGAGCGCCCGGGTCTACCCCCAAGCCGGTCTGATCCGCCACGCCCGCGGCGCAGACGAAGATGATGATGATGATGATGATGATGATGATGATGATGATGATGATGATGATGATGCTGATGCTGATGCTGATGCTGATGATGATGATGATGATGATGATGATGATGATGATACTGATACTGATACTGATACTGATACTGATACTGATACTGATACTGATGGTGATGATGATGCTGATGATGATTATGGTGGTGATGGTGATGGTGATGGTGATGGTGATGATGATGCTGCTTATGATGATGATTATGATTGGTATGAGGATGATGGTGAGAATGAGGCTGGGCACTCATGCAGATTAGGACCACGGACGATTTCGACGACGACGACGATTACGACGATCACGACTTAAACGAATGGTGGCGCGGAGGAGGAGGAGGAGGAGCACCAGGTGGAGACACATCAGCGATCGAGGTGGGGGAGATTCAGGGTCAAAGCCCAAAAATGTGCGATGCAATGCAACACATCGCAATATAATGCAATGCAACGCATCGCATCGCAATGCAGTACAGTGCGACGCAGTACAACGCAGTGCAACGCAAGGAACTGTAAGGCAATGCGTGCCTCGTCGCGTGTCAGCGCCGCGGGGGCCCAAGCACAAACAATCTTGCCTCACTCGTCACTTGGCAATGCCTGGGCGGGCGGAAACATACTATTCCACTCTACCCGTCATGTGGCAGCGCGGCGGTGTCCGAAGACAATTTCGGCTCCACCCTACCTGCCATGTGCAGATTACAGAGGACTCTGAAGCACCTGATGGCACTCCACTTCGTCTCGTGAGACGTGGTGGCGGAGTATGCCACGACGACGATGACGACGACGATGAGAAGAGCCTGAGTTGCGAACAACATTACTATCCTTTCCACCTCATCGTCCTTCTCTTTTCCCCCTCCTCCATCCTCTCTCCTCCTTCTCCCCTCCCGCCTCCCCCTTCCTCACTCCTCCTCCTCCTCCTCCTCCTCCCTCGTCTCTTCTCCTTCCTTCCCTCCTCTGAACCTCCTTCTGTTCTCCCTCCTTCCCTGTCTTCCCCTTCTCCCCTCGCCCGCAGCCCAGTGCAGCGCAAATTACTACGCATGCAAATGCAACGCAATGCAATGCAACACAATCCAATGCAATGCGCTCTAACGCAATGCAACGCAACGCAATGCAATGCAACAGGATACAGTGCAATGCAAATCATCGCAGCACAATGCAATGATCTGCAAAGCAGTGCAATGCAATGCAATGGCTCCTTTCTTCTCCTTCCTCCCCCTCTTCCGGTGCAAGAGAACGTTGTTGATCCCCCGCCGCCCAGCCTCCCCCCCCCTCTTCCCAGGGCCATAAACAGATTTTGGAACGCCCAACGCCCGGGCCCCGAGACGGCGTCGATCGGCCAATTCTTGCGCACCTCTCACACGGATCGTGCCCGCACGGCTAGAATTTTCTTCTGAACCCTCAGATTTTTGTTTGAACCGTATTTCAAGCTTTTCTTGAACCTTCTCCATAAAACATGTTCTTGATTCCCCGCCCTCCTCCTCCCTCATCCTTTCTTCTCAATCCTCGCCCCTCCCCCCCTCGTAGGCGGAGGGAGGGCCCCGGCTGCTTGTTTCGCTGGCCTCGGTGATGAAGCTGAAGGGCTTGTGCGAGCACGAGCATGCGAAGCACGACAAGGCCCTGACGGCTCTGAAGGTATGCCGCCTGAAGTACTTCAAGGAGATCAGGTGGCCCCGTGGCCTTCCAGAAGCCTCCAGCGTCGCCGCCGCCGTTGTTGCAGTCGCCAACGTCGTCGTTGCCGAGGTCGTCGTCGTCGTCGTCGTCGTCGTCGTCGTCGCGGTGGACGTCGTCGTCATCATCGTCGCCTTCCCCCTCAGGAAGGACGAGCCGGCAGGGCCGCAGCGACCCTCGCGGCCTCACGGCGTTTCTCGCCTTTGGGCCTTCAAGATTCTTCTCGTCGCCACGGCTGGATCCGCCTCGAAAGAACTGTCAGGATGGACCCTGGGAGGTGGGCCCGGTCTCTTTGTCAGGGGCAACGTAGGGTGGATAGGCTACGGGGGCATCAAGCAATGCCGCCAGGTTTCCGGACGTTTTCTTGCGTTCCTGGAGGTTTTCCTGCCGGGGGTGTGTTCCAGCGGCTGCGCCTCGACGAGGGCTTTCTGGGCGTGTCCGGCTCGTCCCGAGCCGAAGGCCGGCCTCTGTTTTTTTTGCTTTGTGTTGGTAGCTGCCCGTGCCCGAAGACTGCCGGTGCTGCTCCTGCTCCTCCCCTTCTCAAGACAGACGGGTCATCAGAGAAGCCGTCCAGATTCACTCCTCCACAGATGTGCGCTGCAAGTGGCAAGCTTAGGGGATTGAAGCTTGCTCTATCGGGCTGCGCTGCCGTGGCAAGAACGCATGAGCTTTCGGACCCTCGGGAATTCTTGCAGCTTGTTTGATCCTATCCTCCCGCGGGGCCGCCTCTGCGGTTGCGGGCGCGCCTTGCCCGCCCTCGGAGCTACCTGCGCTCTTGCTCCTCCTCCTCGGTCGGCGCTGTGCTCCCTCTTCGTTCCGCGCGCCACGACTCCCAGCCCTCTTGGGCCCACCCTTTTGCCGTCTTGGGGTTCTCTTGGGCCCTCATCGGGGCCTCGGGGGTCGTCTTGGACGCCCCAGCAGACCGAGCAGCCGAGAGCGGCAGCAGCGGGCGCAGCGCTCGGGTCTCTCGGCTGCTTTGGCCCCTTGGGCCGGCTCCCAGGGCCTCCAAGACGGCCCAACATCTTGGCATCGCTCGGACGTGTGCGTTTTGTTGTTGTTGTTGTTGTTGTTGTTGTTGTTGTTGTTGTTGCTGCTGCTGCTGCTGCTGCTGCTGCTGCTGCTGCTGCTGCTGCTGCTGCTGCTGTTGTTGTTGTTGTTGTTGTTGTTGTTGTTGTTGTTGCTGCTGCTGCTGCTGTTGTTGTTGCTGTTGCTGCTGCTGCTGCTGCTGCTTCTGCTGTTGTTGAAATCTCATTCTTGAAGAATAATTATTGTTGATCCCCCCCCACCGGTGCACATTGTTTTTTTCAATTGAAGTGCCCCCCCGGGGTTCGCACCTTGTTTTTTGTCAAGGAAAGTCTTCCTGCTCAAACTGGCCCCCTGGCCCCCAGGTTACAACAACAACGGCTCCCGCCTGAGACTTCCTTTCAATTTAGCCAGGACCCCCGCTCCCGCCCGAGACTTCCTCGCATTTTATTCAAGGATCGCGCTCTCGCTTGGGACTTCCTTACGATTTATTCAGGAATCGCTCCTCTTGCGCTCTGGAGTCGCGCTCTCGCTGGAGACTCGCTTGCAATTTACTGAAGAATAGCGCCATTGCATTGGAATTTCTTGTAATTTACTCCAGCGCCGCGCTCCCGACACCCAGGCACCCAGGAGTCGCGCTCACGCTTAGGACTCCTCCACAGATTATCTAGGAATCGGGATCTCGCTGCCCTTCCTGGCCGCGTTGCAGCCCTTCGTGGCCCCCTCGCTTTGTTTCGTGGCCCCGTTGCAGCCCTTCGTGGCCCCATCGCTTTGTTTCGTGGCCCCGTTGCAGCCCCTCGTGGCCTCCTCGTTGCCCTTCGTGGCCCCGTTGCAGCCCTTCGTAGCCCCCTCGCTTTGTTTCGTGGCCCCGTTGCAGCCCTTCGTGGCCTCCTCACTTTGTTTCGTGGCCCCGTTGCAGCCCCTCGTGGCCCCGTTGCAGCCCTTCGTGGCCCCCTCGCTGCCCTTCGTGGCCCCGTTGCAGCCCTTCGTGGCCCCCTCGCTTTGTTTCGTGGCCCCATATATGTATGCCCTTCGTGGCCCCCGCTCGTTCGCGCCCGTGGTGGCCCCATATGCATGCCCTTCGTGGCCCCGCTGTCGCCCTTCGTGGCCCCCTCGCTGCCCTTCGTGTCCCCGTTGCTGCCCTCAGTGGCCCCGTCCTTACCCTCCGCGGCCCAACATGCGTATGCCCTTCGTGGCCCCCGCTCGTTCGCGCCCGTTGTGGCCCCATGTGCATGCCCTTCGTGGCCCCGCTGTCGCCGTTTGTGGCCCCCTCATTGTCCTACGTGGCCCAGGTGCTACCCTCATTGGCCCCATCGTTGCCTTCTTTGGCCTCGCATTATCTGCCCTTCGTGGCCGACGCGCGTTCGCGCTCTTCGTGGCCCCATACGCATTCCCTTCGTGTCCCCGCTGTCGCCCTTCGTGGCCTACTTCGTGTCCTTCGTGGCTCTGCTGTCGTTCTCACTCGCTCTCGCTTTCGCTCATCGTCGTCGTCGCCGTCGCCGTCGTTGCCGTCGTCGTCGTCGTCGTCGTCGTCGTCGTCGTCGTCGTCGTCGTCGTCATGGTCGGTCCCCTGTCCGTCCCTCTTGGGGTCGGGTCGACGGTCCGTGGCCGCCCCGCCGATCAGCGCTGCCGCTGGCCAGGCCGGCGGTCCACGGCCGCCCCGCCGCTTGCCAGGGTCTGGCCTGCAGGGAAGAAAGGTATACCCCCCAAAAGGGGTTCGATCGAAGACGAAAAGGGCGGGTATCGAGGGTTTGGGAAATTCGCGTTATTCGACACTCGAGCAGATAAGGGCGAACAGTCTTAAAATGATTGTTGTTGTTGTTGTTGTTGCTGCTGCTGCTGTTGTTGTTGTTGTTGTTGTTGTTGTTGTTGTTTCTTTATTTATGTATGTCTGTCATTCTTTCTTTATTTCTTTCTTTCTTTCTTTTTTTTTTTCTCTCTCTCTCTCTCTCTTTCTATCTCTCTTCAGCCACGCGCAAAGGGGGTGGGAGGGGGGAGGGCTTCTTAGAAGCACCTCTGCTTCTTAGAAGGCGCGGGCCTTATCTATAGATGTAAGGCCGGCGCCTTCTAAGAAGCAGTTTCCTCAGAAGCCCTCCCCCCTCCCTCCACCCCCTTGTGCGCGCCGCCAATCTCCTCTCTTTTCCCCGGCGAGGACCATCGAGGATCACCCTGGATCACCGAGCCACAAGAATACGCACGAAACCGACCAATGCACGGGGAATGGACGTCCGAGCGACGGCAAGACGTGCGCCCAAGAGGTCCGCAGGACGGGCCCCGGGCCCCGCGACCATCGCAGGCCACGTTGGAACCGTGGGACCACACAGGTCGGGGGCGGCCAAGAGGGGGCTGATGACTAGGGGGGGGGGGGATATCATGGCGGGGGCCATGATAGTTATCTCCCCAGATTTCACGGCGCCTCTTCTTGTTCCAACACGTCCCCGGCCGCCCCCCTTGGGCCGCGCAGATGCCGCCGGCCGTGATCTGCGCCCCCGCCTCTTGGACGCCCCCCTCCCTGGCCGCCCCCGAGCAGGCGTTCCCGAGGCCGAGGCCCCAGAGAAAGTCGCGTGGGGTTCTGCCAGGAGCGCGCGGGGGCGCCCGGAGAGCGGCCGGGAGTTCCGGGGGCTGGCCTGGAGACTGGAAGTCCGGCCTGCTCGAGAGCGCTCGCAGAGTTCAGCGCGGAGGTCTCGGCGGGCT